TGCCAGATTCCCTGAAGACTACACAGAAAGTAGAACATCACATAATACTGGCCTACTCCCTGAATTAAACATTAACATAGGCAGTGATTCATTAAAGTGCATGTGTGCTGTGTCTGAAGAAAGAGCGAGCCATGCTTCAGGAATAGGAGGGCAGGTGAATGATTCACCTATAAATTTACCTAATGACATTTCATATGTTGAAGGGAATGATGAACATGAAATTACAACAGTTGGTGTCTGCCAGACTTCAAACTCTAAAATGGAAGGCGAAAATGACTCTGTAAAACGACTGAAAGGCAGTGATTATTTCCATGTCAGTGTTAACAGGCCAGGTAGCATCCTGTCCCTTGGTTTAGATAGGATTAATTTAAGTCTCAGAAGTTTAACTTCAGAAAGCTTGGGGAATGAGCGTCTGACCCCAGTGCATGCTAATGTCAGAGAAGTCATACCAGACAGACTTGATGATGGCTCCAATTCTGCACCCAGCCCGGAGCGGGTACTGGTGAAGGAGCAGCACCTGAGGGACAGGAGTCTGGAAAATGGAGGTGCCCAGCTGGCAAGCAGAGGCCAGCTGCCCGAAAATAGTTTCTCTTATCAAGACAAGGATAAAATGAACATTTTAGAAACTGAGGGTCATGTCAAGAGGGAGTCTGAGTTGAAATCTTCTTGTCAGGTAGACCTGTGTCCAGGTGGCAAGACAGATAAGTTTCAGAGAGATACCTGTGAGTTAACTCAAGTGGAATGTGAACCAGACACGAAAGGAATGATCCAGAAGACAGAATCCCGGAAACTTGGAATTTTACAAGGAATGCCCTCAAGTGACAAACCTCATGATCACTGCAGATCCCTGCAGGGCATGCTTATATCCCCTGCATTTATTTCCACCTGTACTGATGAAGGAAGGGAAGCAAGTCTGCATGAGAAAAGAGAAGATACAGTGTGTGCGAAGCGTTCAGTCAGGGTGTCGTCACACAGCCAGTCTAGTGGTCCCCACATAGACAATGCTGAAAAGAAACCAGAGAAAGCTCATTATAGAGAGACAAGTGATGAGGACATAGAAAATGTCAAATCAGATCCTACAACAGTTTTTCAGTGGGAGACAAGTGTCCTTGCATGCGATGCAGTCCCTGGTGAGAATGCCACAGCCTGTCTTAGCTCTAGCACAGCAGGAAATACCGGCTGTGGAACTAATCAAATCGAAAAAAGCTATGAAACCGATGAAGTAAATGAATACAAAGATCTTAATTTTGTACCACCTATAAACCAAAGTTCATTTTCAGTGCTAAAGAAGTCAGAGGTAGTAGAAAAGGATCTTATTAATAGAGGCAAAAGCCCCAAACTGAAACTGATTTTCTCTGAATCAGCTAAAGAAGTTTCTAATGCCTTTGGTGATAACGCATCAAAATTGAGCAAACAAAAACTAACATGCAGAGAAGAAAAAGAGAAACTTTGTTTAAAGAAAGATAGTATTGACTGCTTAGTCCCATGTAGGAGAAATGAACATGCATACCATTGCAAAGAAAGAAATGCTGAGTCCACAGTTAAAGAACCTTCTTTAAATGCTTCTTTAAATTTCTCCGGAAACTCAAAGGTGACTTTTGAGAAAACAGAGTTATGCAACACTTCTGATGGGTGTTGCTGTTTGAGTGATATTGATCCCATACAGGCAGACACACCTACAACTCCTTCTCATGATGAACCCCAGGTCATTCCTGCCACCCCACTTGATAGCAAAGAAATTGTAGTACCAAGTTGTGACCATGTTATATCATTTACCGAAGATATCCTAAATATATCTGAAAATCCTTCAAAGATGGATTGGCAGAGTTTCCCAGAGGAATTCTACCCAAATATTTTGAGTGAATTTTCCTGTTACCCAATGGGAGGGTTAGCAAGTCATATATTTTCTGAAAGACTGGCAGATGGATGTGGTGGATATCAAGTGGATCATCTCTGGACTAACATGGCCCCAGAAGATGTGGTAGAAGATGCACAGTTACTTACTGAGGATTTACACAAGTCCCAGGACTTAGAAAATGCTTCATTTTCATTGGAACATACACCTTATCAGCGACCAGTGTCAGAGGATGGTGTTGTTTGGGGATGGCAAGATAGAGGCGGACAGTTAGTAAGTGTGCTTGTCAGTGTTTACTGTGCTGTACTCTGGCAGTCTTTGCCTTTTGATTGCTTTTAACTTAATGAATTCTGATTAGTTTCATAAGGGTCTACATGAATGAAGCATCAATTTAACCTTTTTCCAAATGGGAACATGTGAATTTCTTATTGTTGTATTTAAACCAGAGCTTGTGTATAAACTGTTGGCACCAAAGCATGCCCTGCTAATTTACCCCACAGCATTGTGTGGACCTTTGCCTATGCATGCTGCCCTTGTTCTGTCTTCCTTGCCTTGGTGTGCTTTGAACCATTTTGAGAGGGGATCTTGTCACATGGGCTTTGTGAAGTGTTTTAGCAAGTGTTTGAGGTCACTGACAGTCTAAGTCACTTGCAGAGTATAAGCTCACTTCAAATCTGTACCTCCTTTTTTGTGTTGTGCCTAAGACAGATAAAATTTGCTTTTTTTAAAAAAATATATTTTATTATTTTTATTTTATGTGTATGTGTGTATTGTTTGCATGTATATGAGTGCACCCGTGTCGTGCAGTGCTGTAGAGGTCAGAAGAGGATGTCAGATTCCCCTGGAACTGGAGTTAAGGACGGTCCTTAGCTGCCATGTGGGTGCTGGGAATCAAACCTGGGTCCTCTGCAAGAGCAGTCAGTGCTCTTTAAACTGCTGAGCCACCTCTCCAGTCCCCAAATTTGCTACTTTTAACTGGCTCTGAAATCCTGAGTTTCTCTTCTTTCGGTCAAAATCATTGAAATCAAGTTCTCATGTCCTGGCTCCATTGCTTTGGAAGACACTTTGCAGCTCATGTTGGCAACTAGTTTTGAGCATCTTCCTAGAAATTCTGTGATGAATATAAACTATTCAGCAACAGGAAACTGATCTTGCTCATGGTAAATATCTATTGAAGCATTTTGAAGCTGAAAGGACATGCACTCATCCCTCATTATCCACAGGGGATGGGTTCCAAGAGCCCTGGATAGTGAATGATCACATCCTGTCTGTAAAGTGGCATTTCATTTGCAGATAATTTACATACATTCTCCTATTGAAGTCATTCTAAGTGATTATAGTATCTAATATAAGTGCTATGGAAGTAATTGTTACAGTGTTTAAGAAAATAAGAAAAAGTTTGTATGTGTTTAGTAGAGATGCAAATATTTTTGATCTCTGACTTGGATCTATGGATGGTGAACCCGTAGGTACAAAAGAGCCAACTAAAAATAGCAAGGATCTTTATTTTTATTCAGGTTGTTGGCTTTTGGTAGTGATTTTTACGGAATTAGGTAAGTAAACTATTAATAATATTAAGGATGGGTATATCTCAAATATTAAGGAGATAGATGGGAATAAACAAGTAGAAATCCTATCACATGTAACTGAAGGAATTACTAATTACCCCTTTACCCCTTCCTCCCTCCCTCCATGTCCACATTTGGGATTGTTACCAGAAAAAATTAACCTTCATGTTCATTAGATTTTATAGTTGTAGAGGAAACAGTCTACAAAATTAAACCTTTAAAACAATATATGTAGACTCTGTTACATAATTGTGCACATAGCTGACAAGCAATTGCAACTGCTTGGTGCATCCATGCAGAGTGTGGACAGAGTGCTGTCTTTATTAGCATGACTTTAAGTGAGATGCATGCTTTCTATTTTAAATTGCCTTTTTAATTATGAGATAATGACCAAGCAGTATACTGGCTTAAGGTGTTACCCTGTTTTAATGCTGTTGCCTAAGTTTTCAAAACTTGTTTTCAAAGCGCTATACAGTCACTTTTATATTAATCTTATGTAGAAGCTTGTTTCCCTGTTTTACAGATAAAGATCCATGCCAGGTGCATGCTGTTAATTCCAGCCCTCGGGAGGCAGAGGCAGGTGGATCTCTGAGATCATGGCCAGCCTGGTCTACATAGTGAGCTTCAGGCAGGCTGGGACTAGGGAGACCCTGTCAAAAACAAAACAAAACAAAACAGATGAAGAGCCAGACTTGGCCTGTCGGTGCTCTGAATTACAATGCTGTTTTAGTGCAGCTCCAGGATTAGTGCAGGCTTACCTGCAGTGCTTCTTCACTCCTCTGCTCATGTAGAGAATCCTGTTCTTTTAGGGAGTACTGAGTGCTTTCAATGCCTCCTTTCAGCAGCCTTATCACTTTATAAGTGAGAACTGCAAAATTCACTTCCAGGTGAGTTTTATAGAGAGTAAGCAACTCTGCACGTTGCGCAGCTGTCCGTGGGAAGGTGGACTGAGGCCCCAGTGGCTTTGGCACACGTGAGAACCCTAGGCTGGCAGCATCTGCATCACTTGTAGTCCACTGTGGTGGGCCTGGGAAATCGTTCTGAACAGCCCAGCGGTAAGGGAGGCTCCTTCAGAAATGGGAGCAAGTAGTTCTACCCAAAGTGTAAGATGCTTTCTGTGTTGTGGATGCTTAAGCTTTTTCTTGTCCTGTAGTATCCGTTGTTCTTAGGAAGAACTTTGATTTTTCTATATCTTTTGCTTATGTGCTTGGAGCTTTATCACTAAAATGTATGTTGTATTAAATTTGTAAATCTATGAATTGGGATTTTTGTTAGGTAGTGCAGGAAATCACTAGTTACAGTTGTGAAACTGAACTCTGAGCTAAATCAAGAAGTGAGGCCATCATTTATAGTATATAGAGAGCCTTGTGCTTAGAAGAAAATGCCAGAGTGAGTTAGAGTTGTGTGTCAGCTTTCTTTTTGAGCTTGATTTCATCTCAAAGATGTGTGTAAATAGGTAGGCTTAGCCTTGTAAGCCTAAATTCTCTTAACATAGATTTTGTTTTTAAACTCTGAATCAATAAAATAGCACTCAGTTGAACTTTGGATACCACTGTATATATGAAATTTCTTCCTAGGTTCCAGCAACTAAAGTTTCTGAACTAAACCCTAATGCAAAAGTATGGGGAGCTCACATGTTACATTTGGAAGGGAATAGTGCAGCTGTTGGTGTGAGTGCTGCGTGGGAGGAGGCACCTGGCCATCCTGCAGACTGTGGCCAGCAGGGTGAGTAGTGAGCTTGGCCTTGACTGGAGCAGCCTGCTCTCAAGCCTTTGCCCTTATTACCGGTTCACTCTGTCTTTAAGCTATGCATTCGCATCGGAGTCCTGGTTTGTGATAGTATTTAGAGCTGGGGACCTTTTACAATCCACTTTTAAGAATTGAGCAACTGCCAGTGTAAGCTTTATTCTCCTAACACTGCCTTTTGGGATAAAATTGAAATTATAGGATTGGATGCCAATGGCGATGGTGACAAAAGTCATGATAACGCAGCGTTACCAGATTCCCAGGAGGCAGAGCAGACAGAGATGAGCACTCTGGCTCTGGATCACTCGGAATATGAAGCTCTGCCTGAGAGTAGTGAAACAGGTAAGACTAGCTTATGAGCTAGTTTTCATTGCGGATGTGGGCTTTTGCTTTTTTAAAATGTAACTTACTAAATGGTTCTCAAGGCAGTTCATTGGCTCCTTTCAGTGTTCTTTCAAACTTCATCTCATGTAGACATAGAAATGAGGCCTTGGAGTGGAAAGCCTGCTGGCAAATTTAAGACCTGGGTGACCTCTGAAACAAGTGGGATTGAGTTACGAGACAAGAAGATCGTTTATAGGGTGTGTGGGTTAAGTACAGACATGGATGTAGTCTTGGAATTGAGGGTAAGACAGGTTGGACGGACTCAGGGCTATAAAGAGGGAATATAGTGGTGGTTGGAGGCAATTGAAGACTCATCCCACAGCCTTGGAAACCAGAGGGATTTGGACTGTATACCCCTTTTGTCAGTGCAGGAGTTACAGGAAGAAACTCAGATGTTTAAAGAAAGATACAATTTTTCAGGAATAGCAAAGAATGACTTTAAAGAAAGAAAACCTCAGAACAGATAAAACAGGAAGCTCTGTAAGGACTTCAGCTTTGATTAGTGACCATAGAAATGGGAAGGAAGAGAGTAAGCTGGGAAATGAGATTGTTCGCCTTGGTTGGGCGTTGTGCCAAATGTCACTGACATGGGGCTGTAAAAGTAAACCTGTTGAAGAAAATTCTCACTTGTTTACTTTTATTTCTTATTGTCACAGGTGTGGCATTGTCTCGGGGGTTGGCGGGGGGAGGTGTTGTTGGTTTGTTTTTTTTTTTTTTTGAGACAGGGTCTCACTCTGCAGGCCTGGAACTCACAGAGATCCTCCTGCTTCTGCCTCCTGAGCACTGGGATTAAAGGTGTATGCTACCATGACACCACGCCCAGCCTTCGTCTCTGGTTTTAAATCGAGTCCTGTCCACTCACCTTGCCTTGTTTGTTGTGGGCATTTGGAAATACAGGGAAGCATTATCTAAGCAAGCAGGAAGCAGAGTTGGTAAAACTGAGGGTCCTCTGTGAGAAGCATAGTCATGCACAACAGTAGCTTCATCCATTTAAGACTTTACATAGCACAAGGTTAAGAATTGGGCTGGAGAGATGGCTCGGGTAAAGAGCACCTACCTACATGCAGGCAGTATACCCACACACATAAAAAATAATAATAAAGATTTAAAAAAGAATTATTAGTTAAGTGGGAAAATGCTTTATAACACCATTCAGGGTTGTTTTAACTTTAGTGGAACTATTGCTTTAAGTAATTATTTGGTCAGATGAACCAGGTAAGAATTTATAAAAGGGAAAAAAAAATCAAACTTTCCTATATAAATTAGGCATCTTGAAGTGATTTAACCCTCTACATAGGTAGTGCTCTAATTTAAATGAGGAAGCACCACATGTAGCACTTTGATTTGATTAGCTCCTTGTTAGCCCACTGCTAACCAGTTAATGACCCGGAAATGACAAAACATTGGGATAAACTGGAGTGATGGTAAAGTTGATTTGGCTGTTTGATGACAAAGAAAAGCGGGGGTGAGGGAGAATGCCAGACATTTAAATCAAATTTCAAGAAACGGGAAAATAGCAAGGCACTATTATGTCAGAGTCATGAGAAGCCTAAAGGTAAAAATAAAAGGAATCGAATGTAATACAAATTTTAGACTGCATCTAAATCTCAGACTGGGAACAGAAACTGCAAAAGATAGAATATAGATATCAAAAATAAAAGATGTTAACTATGTCTGGGAACTCTAAATTCAAAAGAAGTTGGTTCTTTGTAAAAGGAGTATTTAAAGCTATTTTCAGAAGCAGAAAACAAAAGATTAGTTCCCTTTTGGAAACCAACATAGAAATGCTTATAGAAAATGGGAAAACAATTCCTTGCCTCCAGTGTTGTTCGTGGTATCTAAAAAGCTAGTCAATATTTAAACTGCTAGCAGACGGAAGGGACAGGCAGCAGCCTAATGACTGACAGCTGAATGGCAGAGAAAGTAGAGGATGCAATCTGTCTAATGGGAATTGAGCAGAGAATTGTCCAGTGGTCTGACATCACTTCTGTGGTTCTACCTGCAGAGAACTTGAGTTAGCGGTACTGAGGTGAATGAGCACACATACCTCCCTTTCTGTTCTTGTACATGTGACTTCAGCTAGGTATGAGTGGTAGTTAATAAGTACCTACCTGATGCTTTTGATGGTTTTTGCCTGTCTTCTGTTTTGGGTTCCCAGTCCCTGTAGAGCATTTGCTGAATGACTTACTCCATAGGCCTCTTTGTTGGTCATCCCCTCCCTACCTCATCACCTAACATCCCAGACCATCCAACTTTAACTCCCTTTGTGGCTGTTTGCCAAATGCCCCAAACTTGTGCATGTACCGGAGCAGACAGGTAAATATGGTTGAAGAAAACTATGCCGCAGAACAGAGTGGCTTGATTTTTAAGTTCATGATCACAGATTCCCAGAGCTACTGTGCTGCCTAATAAAAGTCAGGCTGCTAGGCAGTGACTTGAAGCTTCCTGTCCTACCTCCATTGCTCCCATTCTTTGTTGTATAAAGCACTAGGGAGGCATAAAAGATGCACAGTAAATGCTGAGTAGTTAAGTTATGCCCTAGTTTTTTGTCTTCATTTTCCTTACCTTTAGTGAATTAAGGAAACACTGAATACATTATACAGTCAATTTGATGACATTTCATTCTGCACTGTTTTCTCTGCTCAGTTTATGTAAGTTGAATACTTAAGTTGTAAAACATAAGCAGAATCCAAAGTCATCAACATGTCCATCACCAGGAAGACTTCCTGTGTGCTCTTCTTTCCCTAGGCAACCATTCCAAATCAGTTAGCATTTTCTGGAATTTAAGTAAGTGGAATAGGACAGTGGTTGCTCTTTGACTTACTTAAGTACACTCACTAGCTTTGAGATCGTTCCTATTTTTTTTTTTTTTTTAAAGTCTTTTTGAAGCAGGGTCTCCCTGTCCTGGAACTCACTATGTAGACCAGGCTGGCCTTGAACTCACAGAGATCCACCTGCCTCTGCCTCCCAAGTACTGGGACTACAGGTGTGCGCTACCATGCCCAGCTCAAGTTGTTCCTTTATGACCGAGTAGAATTCCACGATATGGTTCATTGTCTTCTCATCTACCTGATGATGAGTATTTAGATTGTTTCCAATTTGGGACTTTTAAATGTTACTGTTTGAATTTGAGAGCAGAACTTTGTGTGGACATTTGTTTTCATTATTTAGATAAACTGACATAGATGGATATCATTAGTTCTATTTATCTTCTTAAATGATAAAGCTGGGAGGCTGGGGATACAGCTCAGTGATAAAGTGCTTGCCTAGCATGCACAAAGCCCTAGATTTAATCCCCGCACTGCCACAGAAAATGAAAACAGTAAAGGAAGAGACGTGGTAAAACTTGTCCACTGTAGGGTGCTAATTTGTATTTCCACTTCCAGTGTATCAAAGCTGCATACACTATGTCTCCACTAGCAGTGTTTCTAATTTCAGCCATTCTAAAAGGTGTTAACTAACAGATCTTACTGTGGTTTTAGTTTGTATTTCCTCAATGACTAATGGTGTCAAGGTTCCTTTTTTTAAGATGTTATTTTATTATTTGATAATTTAATACATGCATCTACTGAATTTTTGGCCATTTTCGCCCACCATCCCCTTCTGTCAACCCCTTCTCTCTAATGAAAACCTTTCTTCCCAACAAGCTAAGCTCCCTCCTACTTTAATTTGTTGTTGGGTTTTGTTTTTGTTTCTGACCCACTGTGCCCCTCCCCCAGCACCCATTAACTACCCATGGCCCCTTGTGGGCTTCCTGGCCTGCTCCTCTCCCATTGCGTTCATGACGAAATGGTGCAGCCACAGCTGTGGTGAGTTCATGAGTGCAGTGACCATGTTGCGTTCAGAAGACGTGTTTCACAGCACTTCTCAGCCTCTAGTTCTTACATACTTTCTATATCCTCTCTGCCATGTTTCTTGTGCCTTGGAGAGGTGATACAGGTGTGTCACTTAAGACCAAACACTCCACAGTCACTTATTCTCCATACTTTGACCAGTTTTCAGTAAGATGTATTTTTTAGAGCAATTTTAAGTTCGCAGCTAAGTTCCAATGTAGAATTTTTTAGTGCCCTCCTCCCCCTCCCCCTCCCCCCTCCCGCTCTACCCTTGTGATCCTGATCCTCCCCAGTCCACATTGGAAAGGCCTGGGAAGGGTGAGGAGAGGAGGTCACAGGCAGCTACAGGCCAACAGCCCAGGCTAGGAGTGACCCACCTCCATCAGGGAATAAAATATAATGAACCATATACATGTAAGATTTACCATCTTGTTTTTTGTTTTGTTCTGTCTGGACCGCAAACCCAGGGCCTTGTATATCTGCACATGCTCCACTGCTGCTCCAGCTCCCAGCCCCTTAGTCGTATTTAAATATACAGTTCAGATGCACTAAATACTGTTGTACAAACTCATTTCATCCTATAAAAAAACTGAAATTCTGTGTCCACTAAAAATAACTGCCAATTTTCTCTTCACTCACCCTTGAAAGGCACTAATTCTTTCTGTCTCTATAAATTTGCCTACTCTAGGAACCCCCAAAAAGTGGAATTATAACAGTCATCTTTTTTTTTTTAATAATTTTTTTATGTGTATGCGTGTATTGCCTACATGTAGGTAAGTGCACCTGTACCTTGCAATGCCTGTGGAGGACAGAAGAGACTGTCGGATCCCCTGGGACTGGAGTTATGGACAGTTGTTAGCTGCCATGTGGGTGCTGAGATTCGAACCTGGGTCTTCTGCAAGAACAACCAGTATTCTTAACTGCTGAGCCATCTTTCCAGCACTCACAGCCATCTTTTTGTAATTGGCTTATTTCATTACTAGCATGATGTCCTTAAGGGTCATCTATATTGTAGCATTTGTCAGAATTTCTTGTTTTTTGTTTTTTGTTTTTTTAAGGCCGAATAATACTCAGGTAGGTAGATAGATAAAGAAAGAGGTAGATAGGTAATAGGTAAGTAGGTAG